GTGTAAAGGGTCCGGCGCACGAAATGAGCACGGTGGTGCCGGCGCAGACCTTGTCAAGGGAGCTGGGGCTGGCAATGTCCGCAGAAAGCACGGCGACGTCCAGGCCAAGCTCCTTCTTTAGTGCATCCAGCTTCTCTTTACTGCGGCCCGCAATCGCCCAGGGTCCCACTTTGCCCGGGCCAAGCCGTGCAAGGTACTCACAGACCAGTTTCCCAGTGTAGCCTGTGGCCCCAAGAACGACCAGTGAGAATTCCCTTGCCATTTACTTCCTTGATAACGGTGTAGTAAACTAGTAAAAGCAATTTTTTGTTTATGTTTTCGGAGTTATCACTTTCTTTCAAGCCGATTTGGAGCAAAGTGGCCACAGACCATGAGGTAATAAAAAAAAACAACAACAACGACAACAGAGGATTTCAAGCGCTGACACTTTACCACCCATAAGTGGAACCACACCACATGAGTGGGTCCGTCCCCTCGCTCCTTGATAGACCGCGAACAGAGTCACTTCCTTTAGGGCTTCGAACGCCACACAGGAGCCTTACTTCCCGTTCCACACACACCACCTATTCTTATCCCCTTGCAAGTTTTTCTTTTACTTTTTGGCCATCTGCAAGCTTTTCACCGAAGCTCCCACTGCGAAGCTGAGAAGAACATCTTTCACGGCAGCCGCATTTCTTGTGGGCAAGACGTCTCCCCACCCCTCCTGTGAAAGTAGTGTCCATCCTTCACGAGCATCCCAGTCAACACTCCGCGTTCACACCCATCAATAATGATTTACAAAAGCTGGGGAAATCATGAGAGGGAGTGATTGTTATCCTGGATCCCTCTGCAGGATATTGTGTTCCTCTCCCAATTTCACCTTTGCTCACACTTCTGGACCACTGCTCCCCAATCACGCAGTTTCTTCCATCCACTACCCGCCGCCTTCCGCCATTGTTGCACTGCTTACAGGGGAAACGAAGCGTGGAAAAGTTGCAGTAAGGCCACTCCACATCATTATTATTATGTATATTCTTCACACGTTTTCTCTTGTTTTCTTGTTGCTCTCAAGACGCTCACTGAAAGGCCAGCTTTTTCCCCACTTTGAGCGTATTCTCTCTCACGCTTTCGCCAGTGAAGAGGCGCCGCATTCTCTCGTATTCAGAAATGTCCTTCTGGGTCAAGGAAGGACGGGTTACCGCCAGCGCCCGCCTTACATCCTCCATGTCCATTTGAGTGACAAGCTCCAGGGCTTTATCACGTTTGCTGGGGACACAGATTGGCCTCAAGGCGTCCTCAACCTTCTCCCGGGTTGTGCCTTTGCCCACATTTGCCACGGCAAAAAGTTCCTCGAAATTCGCCTCTGTGCTGTGCAAGGAAAGCCGCTCAATCACACGCCGCGTCACAAAAAGGTGTGCGGAGGACACCAATCCAGACAGGTCGGCGGGAGTCCAATTGTGAGTTTGCCGCGCCAAATCCTCAATCTCCTCCTGTGAAAGCTTGGCAGAGACCTTGCCGAAGCAACGCAGCAATATTTCCAAGCGTTCTTCGTAGGATGGAATGGGGCACTCCACTGCCTTGTCCAGTCTGCCTGGTCGCAGCAAAGCGGCATCTATCAAGTCAGGGCGGCTTGATGCCGCCACAACATAAACGTCTTTTCTCCCTTCTACCCCATCCAAGTAGCACAAGAGCTGGTTCACAACACGATCTGTTACACCGGAGTTATCTACACCACGTTGTGGAGCAACCGAGTCAAACTCGTCAAAGAAAATCACACAGGGCGCAGCTGCCTGAGCACGTTCAAAAACGTCACGGATCTTCTGCTCGCTCTGGCCGATGTATTTTCCAAATACCTCAGGACCATTAACCACAATACAATTCAGATCTGCAGCATTTACAAGAGCTTCGACCACAAACGTCTTTCCGCAACCAGAAGGGCCGTAAAGGAGGATTCCACTTCGCGTCTTCAATGGAAGCCGCGCAAATAATTCGGGATGTTTTATAGGCAACACTAAGGTGTCATGCAATATTTTCTTTGCATGAGAGAGACCTCCAATGGAGTCCAACGACTGTTTCTCGCCCTTGAGAAAGTTGATACCAGTGTGAGATAACGGAGTAAAGCAGGCAATGACCTCCTTTACCTTGTCCAACGAAGGAGGATTCCCATCCGTGGAATGATTTTTGATACGCACTGAAACCCGTTTGATATCAAACGGGGTGTAATTTTCCATCAATGCTGTCAGCTGCTCCAAGGCGTCCGTCGGTTCCGCTGGAAACACCTGCTTGAGCAATGCCAGTCGTGACTTTCGGTCCAATGCCTCAAGCTTCATGACTTTGGCAAAACAGTTAGCCGATCTAAGTCGTTCGTGAACAGCTTCACGATCTCCGCAGGTTGCGAGCACAACGATAGGGCTGCGACCGGTAAAGGTAACTGTGTCGGTAAAACAATGCAGTATTCTTTCCAGAATAGACCTTGTCGTGCCAGTAAGCGCCGCGACTGCTCCGTCACGCTGCACCGGGGCTATGCTGTCAAAATTGTCTAAAATAAGAACCGACGGTGCACACATAACACACTCCACCAAGGCCTCCTGTAAGGAGAGTAGGAGTCGATTTCCGCCAGAAGTGCATTGAACAACACAGACATGGACGTCAGAAAGTTTGCTCAGGACAGCTGCAGCGACTGTTGTCTTGCCGTAACCATTTCCACCACAGAGCAAGACATTGCCATTGCCCCCCTGCCCCCCGCCGGGGGAGCTACTCAGTTTCTTTTCCAGAGTAAACCAGCTCGATAAGTGACGTAGGAGCTCGTGAGCAGCGTCCCCGTGAACAGCTGCCACCTTGTCAAAGTCCACCTCTTTACAAAAAAAGGAGCGAGGACTGTCTTCCGCGACATCGTTGGCAGCCACATGCCGCACATTTTCCTCTGGATTGGGGAACACAATTACGTTGGAAGTCTGCCCCAAAACAGTACAGTAGCACATTCCTTCAGGTATCTCGTTAAGACATCGAATAGGCGCCTTCCAGGCGTTTGTGCGAAGGAAAGACGGCGTCACTTTCTTAGATTCAAGGAGTTGTGAAGCGCGTGCGAGGTCCCAAAAACCGACTACGAGACCCTCATACCAATGGTAGCGTTCTGCAGTTGCGGGGTGCAGCAGAAGCGACGCCCTGGTGTTGTCTGTCGGCGGCGCTGTCGCCCCACGGGCGGAGCACGGATGCGAGCGTAGGACGGCCCACATGGGTGTTCCGTCTTCAGTAATTTGTCGTGATCGCGTTGCAATGACAAATTCCGTTCCTTCAGCCATGACAGCGCAGCCGGAGGCGACTTCACGGCCCTGCGTGTCCTCAATTCGCTGCACCACCACCCTGGCGTGAACGTCGGCAAAAACAACTACGCTGATAACCATCCCTGGGAAGATGACTTGCACCTGGCGAAGGAGCTGTGCCTCAATGCGAAGTGCATTTTTCTCCACAACCTCGCTTTCGTCCACGGAGGCGGGCACAACCAGCACTCGGGCTGCCTTGGTGGGCTGGTAGACAGGAATACACTGCACAATCTCACCATCTTCTAAGCCCAGATCTCGTCCTAAAACAACCGAGATGAGCAGCTTGCGGGGCTCAAGGTGATGTGTACTACGAGTTAGACACCCAACGTAGAGGTCCCTTTCACCATCCGACAGCTTCAGTGGCGCCACCAACGGAAGTTTGCTGCCGTAGTGGGGAGTAAGGCAACTGTTCACAAACTTTTCCGATACCGTGACAAATGCATCGGTGCGGGAGGAGTCAATAAATATTTCGAAAGAACTTGGCTGCATGCTATTTACTTTTTTAAAAAGAAGATTAACCACGGGTAACACACACACGCATGCATGTAGACATGTGTTGAATAAATGAGGCATAGGGGTCAGAGGAAACACGAAATACGAAGAGAATGCAAAAAAAAAAGAGCATTCTATAGATATATAAAACACTATACCACAGTAACAACATCCCGGACAACATGACCGTCCATCTATCCACGGATAAAAAAAAACAAAGACGCAAACAATCACCATTGTTGTCATGTTTGCATGTGAGACAATTCTTGCGGCATATGCCAAAGCATCACCTTGTTGTGGTGAAGCACTAATTTGGCACGTAACCCCACCTCAGTTTCCAATATTCGGCGTCTTCGGTCGACAGCACACGACGTGGGCTATATAGGAGAGTTACGGACTCCCCAGCCGCGATGGCGCGCTGTGTTAGAAGATGCGCACACGGCCCATCGGTGCTGTGCCATCGCAGACCAACGCCGTTGCCACGGCCACTGCTAGCTGGCATCACACAAAGCAGAGAATTAGGCGTAAAGCTATGAAGGCAGAAATCAATGATGGGGTACAATGTCAGACCACCATAATCATCGCAGAGAGCACGGGACAGGACCATAGACATTCCCCATGGCACGGATTTAGAGACAAAGTGCGGCAAACTTTGTTCCATGCGCCGCAACAGGGAACGTAACCGCACCCACTCCACCCGTTGGGAGGCGGTCACAAGGCTTTCTTTCGATAAGAACGGACCGTTTAAGATTCCTTGGGCCTGCATGGAATTTCCCATGTACAGCATTTCCAATTCCTCACGCAACCAAATACGGTCCGTGGCCATGTTGGCGGTTTCCGTGTTGTATAGGTCATGCAAAAACTCAAGGTATCGGCGGTGGAAGCCTCGCGGATTGTGCAGCTCACGCACCACAACTCCAGTGAGTGTTTCCAGCGGGTCCCAACGATGCGAAAAGCTCTTGCGTTCATCATGCGCTGCGGCCGACAGAGAGAGCGTGAGTGGCAATGAAATCAAGGCCTGGCCGGCAGGAATTAGTCGCGTGGCGACCAAACGACATCCTCGCCCAGGATGAAGCTGTAGCTTAAGCGCACAATGCACCGCAGCACCATTCCTGGCGGACCAGCGAAGAAAAGAACGTGCGGCGGGCACCCTTCGTGAAAAGGTGCACGGCCACACCTCTCTATACGTCTCTTTGTTGGCGCAGAAAAAACGGCGGGGCGGGCCCTCACGACAGAGAAACTCCATCTCCTTCCCTGCGTCTATCGCCCCGCGGCACCCAAAAACTACGGGTAAGCAACTACTACTGCCGTGCCCAGCATCCATGCAGGTGTGCGTGAAGAGCGAGCCGCAAGGAATGAAATGACATTCGCCCCTCACCATGGTGGGGGGCAGAAGCGGGGAAGTAAAAGAAAAAAAAGCAAAGTGGGAAAAAATAGGCATGTGTAAAAAAAAGAGGGATTGCATCCCCCCCTCCACACACACACACATACATGCAGGCAGAGAGAGAGAGTCCCCAATAGCGGCAAAAGAAAGGCAGTTATGCAGGAAACTAAAGCCCATCTCACTATCCAAGCGAAAGAAGAATTGGCGAGGGATCAAACACCAACACACACACACACACACACACAGACGTCATGTTTCTGTTCTTGAAACAAAAAGAAACGTAAACAATAAAATTATTTCCAGGACTTTGTGTTCTGCTGCATTTTAAGGGAGGGAAGTACATCGATTTATGGTTTACCCGCGATAAATACCGCACCTACACCCCTCCTTTTTCTTCTCGCTCATGCATTCAGTCAATTCCGCTCACATCTACAACACAACTTCCTCACACAATTCTGCCCCTTCTTCATTTATTATGTTTATTCTACTGATACACGTAGTCATCGGCGTGTTCATGAAGAAGCTGCGCTGAGGCCTTGGCATCTTTAAACAATCCATCCACCAGAACCACATCTTCCACTTCAATTACGTTACGTCCATTGGTTTCCGCAATAATGAGCGCTGGTGTGAGTAGTTGTACCACATACCGAAGGGAGGTGCGTTCCCCAATTTCCCCGAGAAGCTCTAACGAGGCATCTGACACCTTTACACCCTCCACCTGGGCGCGAATATCGACAATGGAAACAATTTCATCAAGGGTGTAATTTGAAGTGCGCACAATCAGAAGACGATCAAGCAGATCGGTGGGAACACCGTGCGGAGATCGAATGTCCGTCCCCCGGATGCGACAGCTACCTCTGTTAGTAGCAAAAATTACCACAGGAGCCAGTGTAGATTCCAGCGCCTTATTCAGAAATGTAAAACATTCAATATCCAACATGTGTACCTCGTCAATAAACAATACACCTGGAACCAATTCAGCTACACCCTGATCAATGTACTTGTTCACAACCTTGTTGATCTCGTGGCGCAGTTTCTCTGTAATTTCGGTCTTTTTTTGCTTCATTAAACTGTTCACAATAGAGAGGGCATCTTGACCCTGGTTTGGTTTGGCATTGGCAGAATCAAGATCGTGCAGTGTCACATCTTGAATGATCTCCTTCTTCTTGTGAACATCTCCTTTCGGTAGTGGGACGTACTCATCAGCTTCCAGGTCATGATCTCCAATGTACGCGTCCGAACGTCCGACGCGCTTTACAGCTCCAGTACTGGCCTCAATGTAAATAACATCACCCACAGACACCTTTTCCTTCTCTAAGCTTTCATAGATGGCAGCATCTAACTTGAGTTGCTTGGAGCCCTTGAGAGACTTGAGAGTCACAATAACGTGGGCAATCGACTTTCCATACCCTCCCAATGGATTATCAGTCTCTTCTGCCCGCAACTCTGTGACTTCGCCCTCGTAAACCTCTTTTTGTTCTTTAATGCGAAGCCCAATTGCCCGGCGGAAGTTTTCCATCAGCACCTCTGTCTTCTTTACTTCAGCACTGTAAACTTCACTGCCAACCATGGGGCAAAAAGGCACCTTTAGCCCCAACTCCTTTGCAATACCGAGTGCCAACGCCGTCTTGCCTGTTCCAGGAGGACCGGCAAAAAGGAGTGCCCGCCCAGCCATTTTTTTGGTTCTTGTGAGTTCCACAATAATGCCGGCGGCCTCACGGGCCTTTATTTGTCCCACGAATCCATCCGCGTTCGGCTTGGCTGAACCCTCTGGATCCAACCCCAGGCCCTTCACATGGCTGTGAGCTGCCACACGCTGCCTCTTCGTGGTGGAAATGACCTCCTCAATCTTTATTCCAGACATCTCCCCTACGCAACCTCACCTTCTTCTTCCCTTTCCGTTTTCCCTCGTCGTTGCTGGCACCGACCCACACAGCTGCAAAAG